GGTCACTCTCAAAACTGTATGGAGGGTGCAATGTGAAAGAAGTTAGCTGCTATAAAGCCACACCGAGCATTACGTTGGCATTTCTTTTGCTAACAGTTGCAGCGGGGCTGGAGAGATGGCTCAGCAGTTAAGAATGTGTACTGCTCCCAGTGCTGACCATCAGGCAGTTCACAACTGTCTGTAACTCCAGCTCCAGCAGATCTGACACTCTTCTGGACTCCTTGGATATCTGCATTTACATGTGCACATATGGAATGTGCACCTATGCTTACATACACACATAAATATTAAAAAAGTAGTAACAACAGCTGTAGCAGAAAAAGAAAATAGAAAATAACCCAGGAAGAACTGTCCTAATCCTGAAGATCCAGAACATTAAGGACAGCAACTAATTTTTTCCCATTTCAGTCCAGCTAACACTGGGCATGGCCACTCTATGCCAAGTCCCATATGCTGGCCACCCTGACAGCCTTGTCTTTTACCCCTACTACACGCCACAAAGTAGGTTCATTGCAGCTGAGAAACTCGAGATCTCAGAAGTGCGAGTGATTTACCCTTAATATCCCCACACAGAGAGGACAGCCACGACCTTAATATCCCCACACAGAGTGGACAGCCATGAAAGGCCTTATTTTCCCTGTTGGTTTTAGAAGGGTTTCAAGATACTTGACAAGCCCCCAGCTTCTGAGACAGTGAGTGGGGGCTGAAGATGAGGGGTTCCATCCCCTGGTCCAGGTAATTTGTCCACAGTTCTGTGCTGCCACCCAAAGGGTTGGACTTTCCTAAGAGGAATGTGTATGGGAGACTTGGCAGCGGTCTCAACCCCATTCTGGGCTTTTCTTTCGGCATTTCTTAGTCTCTCCAGCATTCCCTGTAACATACCTCCTCTGAGGAAGCTTTTCTGATGGCTCACTTTCCCCACTACTTGTTTCGATTTGTGTAGTTGTTACGTTGTTTCCTTCTTATCACTAAAAAGAATTCATTTGCTATTTAGTTGTTTCTTATATCCTCAAATGATGGGATAAAATTGTTTCTACTTATTTTTTTATGGAGTCTACCACAATGTGATGTTAAAAAAACCCCAGAAAATATGTGTTAAAGAAACAAACTATACTATTTAGTCTTTGATTTCTATGAAAGGGTGACTTCATTCTTCATAAAAAATGAAATAATGAATTCATTTTTGCCATGTTATTCAATTTCTCAAAAACCTTTATAAGAACATGATTTTAGGAGGCCACCCAATAACTAGTGATCTCAGGTGATCTTCTTTCAAAAATGTCCATTCCCTGGTTTTTAAATCCCAAGTGCTGTTTAAATCCACTGGCAAGCTTCTGAAATAACCAATACCTAAGCCTTGGCACAGACAGACTAAATCAGAATGTCCACCCTATGACAAGCATAGACTTGACAGCTAATTTTCACTGCCTCTCTCATGAATATGCTTTTCTAATGAATGCATATGCAGATGTGGTTTTGTTGTATGCAAGTATGGTTTTGTTGATTTACAATCACAGATTTTTTTTAGAACTAAGATCTAAAATAAGATCCAGGTCAATCCTGGTGCCCAAACTGAAGGCACTGGGTGGAGAGAGACTGAGTAGCTCCTGGGGAGGTGGTGAGGAGAGGCCAAGCAGCTGCCTCTCACTGGGAGGGGTGGTTGCCAAGTGACAGGTCCTATCTTGAATGGCTGGAATTTTCTGAACTTCTGTTCTGTAACTACAGTTACCAGTCTGAGCTGTCTAGTTTCAAAACTTCTGCCTCTAAGGAAAATGGCCAAAAATGTCTGACACCTTGAGTGGAAGGGTTGGACTTTAAAAGCTGTCACTGCCAGGAGTCCCTTAAAGACTTTCAGTGTGGCACATTCCAAACACCCCGTTGCCTTGACAAAAGGAAATTCTGCAGCAGGCTACATCAAAGCCCAAAGTAAATACATAAATAAAAAAAAATAAGTGACCACTCTCTGTTTGTATGCCTTTTCATTGGCCCTAGCTCAAAAGGCCTCGGCACCTTGTATCAGAGCACAGAGCACATCCATCCCTTAGCTAACCCAGCATACTTATTCGCCTGTGAGGTATCAGAGCACAGAGCAATTCATCTCTTAGTTAACCCAGCACACTCATTTGCCTGTGAGCAAGATGATCAGCACCCAAAATGTATGTGCACAGAAGCATTGTGTTAGTGTCTCTTGAAAGTGATGGCTTTTAAGTATTTGTTGATTATGGAAGTTCTAAATCCTAGTCCCTTGGTAACATGCCACCTATACAGTAAGAGAAGCTAGATTTAGTGCTAAAGTATCACATAAGCAATATTTAGGCAGGTGAAGTGATGTAGTAGTCTAGGCTCTGTCCCAGAGTATGCTTTTAACTATTAACTTTGCACAAGTCACTTAATTTTTTTCTGGGACTAAGTCTCATCAGTGGTTAGTAAAATCAGAATATAAACACTTAATTAAAATTTAAACTACAATTTCCCAAGCTATTAATTCAAGCAAGTTCACATTTTTTCTATTTCTTCTTAGAAATACATAATTGTAGCCTAAAAATTAGCCTATTTCTGCCAAACCCACATTTCAAAGATGTGTAGGAGCCTCCATTTTTGAAAGGAAAGTATCTCTACTGGAATACTTTCTTATTGATATTCTCTTCTGGAGACCTTTGATCCATATACTGGTTGGTTTTATGTCAACTTGACACAGCTAGAGTCATCAGAGAGGAAGAAGCCTCAATTGAAAAAAATGCCTCCATAAGATCCATCTGTAGGCATTTTCTTAATTAGTGATCTCTGGGTGTGTGCCCAGCCCATGATGGGTGGTGCCATCCCTGGGCAGGTGGTCCTGGGTTCCATAAGAAAGCAGGCTGAGCAATCCATGGGGAACAGGCCAGTAAGCGTCACCCCTCCATGGCCTCTGCATCAGCTCCTGACTCCAGATCCCTGCATTGTTTGAGTTCCTGTCCTGATTTCCTTTGGTGATGAACACTGATGTACTAGTGTAAGCCAAATAAATCTTTTCCTTCCCAACTTGTTTTTTGGTTATGGTGTTTCATTGCATCAATAGAAAACCTCACTAAGACATTCCCAAATAAAAAATTCCCCAAATGGGACTTAGTGAAGGACTGGACAGCTTTCAGCTAGCTTTCCAGTTTGTAACTTAATTCATGTGGACCTGTTCTCTATAAAATGGAAACAATCCTTTGTCAGTGGTCCATTAAGTGTAGTTTCAGTGACCCATTTAAATCATGGACAGTCACTGTAAACATAAAGAATTGCTATCCATTTTAATCTTGGGATTGTAGTTTACATGGCCTTTCTGATTTAATTTATCACAGCCACAGCATCTATCTTTTACATACATTACATCTGAAATATCTGGGCCCATTTTTAAAATCTGTTTGTTTGTCTTTGTTTTTGTTTTTTTCGAGACAGGGTTTCTCTGTATTGTTTAGGAGGCTATCCTGGAACTTTCTCTGTAGACCAGGCTGGCCTTGAACTCACAGAGATCCTCCTGCCTCTGCCTGTCGAGTGCTGGAATTAAAGGCGTGCGCCACCAACGCTCTGCTTTTGGGCCCATTTGTTAAAGGCTTGGTCCCCAATCCACGGCACTGTTGAGAGGTGGGGAGACATCTAAGACCTGAACAAAAAGAGGTAGGTCCACAGCAGCATGTTGTTGGGGGAACATTGGGCCCTAGTTCCCTCTGGAGCTTTGCTTTCCAGCTGCCATGAGGTGAGCGGCTTTCCTGCCATGCCGTCAGTGAGCCATGATACATCACCTCACCACAGGCAATGGTACAGAGGAACTACAGACATAAACCACATTTATGTTTGCATGATCAAAACAAATCCTTTCCTTTACTGATTGGCTTAGCATTTGTTTCGGTAACAAAGAGACAACACTCTCTGGCTCTTCACTGATTGGTTCAGCTGTAAGCTCAATAAACTGCTGGCTCCATTTAAGTATAATCCGCAGAAAACCTAAACTCCATGGGCCCAGCTTCTGTGTTGTTTAACTCTAAATTCCCAGTATCTATCACAATATGATAGAAACCCAAGAGAATGCCTGCCCTCCTTCCTCTTCAGGGAAGGCAGCAAAGATGATTACTTGTGGGTAAAGCGTTTGGCAATTTCTTGCAGAATTCATCAATTTTCTATGAAAAAGCCTGGAAGCACAGAATAGGCTCCAACTCGAAACTTAATTTTAAAACTATGCATTTTTATTTTTTCCAGACTGACCATCTTAAAGTAAAAACAGCAGGGCCGTTCACAGTGGTGTTCAGGAAAACGGACCACCTAGTGAGGTTGAGACTGGCCTTGAAGGCCACTGGAGTCACACTGTATTGGACAATGCTCAGAAACGCACAGGTTCTCAAATGTTTGTTGAATTTCTGAGGAATTAAGCGAACACAGGTAATGTGTGAGTGTCTGGCACTCGGCACACATGCACCTCCGTCATCACCACCGCCTCCCTTGCCGTATGACATTTACGGTGGCCGGAGGGTGGCCTCTACCTAAATTGCTTTATCAGTTGTGGTTCCTTGGGACTCCACAGAGAACTGTGCTCAATTTCCCACATTTCTGCTGCCTTAGTGCACAACACAGCTGCAACCGGGCGAGAATTCCAGACCCTGAAACCGCTAACTGAGCATAGAGGAAGCTCAGCCTGCGCTTGACAGCTCACACCAGGGCCCGGCAGTTTCGCCCTCGCTAGTCAGTCCAACCAGCCACGTCTGGTGCGGGTCAGCAAAGGGGAAAAAAACCTAGCCCGAACACAGTTTAGACCCTCCTACTAACGGTCCCTCCGCCTCTGACCGGGCGGTCTCAGGATTCTGGTTTCCGGCCATCAGTGGACTACAATTTCCAGCATGCCCTTCGTGGGAAGTCTTTCCCGATGGACGACTACCAATCCCGGCAAGCTATTCGGCTCACTAATAACTCAGATGACAGTGTGGGATGACCCCGTTGCCCGCCGGGAATTGTAGTTTTCTAGCCGTGGATTCGCAGATGGGTGGGGAATAGCCCGCCAGTTCTTGTCCGCTAAGGGGAATGATTCATAGAGTGTCAGGAGGGACAGTTCTGCTCGTGAAAGCTCACTACGAAGCTGAACTCTTCTCAAGGCTGGTAGACTGATGAGAGCAGGCAGGGGCTGGGCCTGACCCCGTCTTTGGAGGCTCGTCAGGCCTCCGCCGAGCCCTGGGCCTTGCAGGGGGAGGCCCCAAGGCGCCGGTTGCTGGGGGAGCGGTGACGTCTCGGGGTGAAAGTTGAGGGGCGGTGACGTACGGCCTGCCCGGGCGGAGGCTGGCGGGTTGGAGACTGGAGGGAGGGAGGGAAGGAGGGAAGGAAGGAAGCTGGGAAGGAGCGAGGTAGCGGGGGCGAGAGGCGTTTACCTGGGAGGCAGCGGCTGGGGTGCGCACAGCGGCCGCGGCTCCCCCGCACCTGCGGCCATGGATGAAGAGCGCGCCCTCTACATCGTCCGGGCCGGCGAGGCGGGGGCTATCGAGCGGGTCCTGAGGGATTACAGCGACAAGGTAAAGAGCTCTGGCCCTGGGCGTTCGCTGTCTCGCCCCGGGCCGCCCTCGGGGCTTGCACTTCGCATCCTCCCCACCCCCCTCATTCCGGGGATGCGCTTTGCTCTCCCCCGAAAACGTTTCCGGCTTTGGGCATGCGTGTTTGTGCCCCCAGCCTTTCCCACCCGTGCATCCTGCATCACCCCCACCCCGTACACACTGTAGCGCCCAGCGCCCACTCCTCCGATTCTTGGCCCAGCAGCCTGTCCTGTGGTCTTCTTGCTAAGCGTGCAAGTCACACCCCCAGAATCCGTAGATGCACATCTGTCCAGTGCCTCACTCCTGGATTCATACAATGCATGCGAGGCTTTCTCACCTGCATAATGTAAAAATACATGCTTCTCTGCATAAACACGGCCCTTGACATGCATAAAACATACCAGCAACGACGGCAGTCCTTTTTGTACCAACACCATTGAACGGCTTCTCAGGCATTGATGTCCTATGTGTGCTCTCCCTTGATCCTCAGTGTTTATAGGGTAGATGGTATCATCCTTCCCATTTTATAGATGAGGAAACCGAGATGCAAAGAACTGAAATCATGCCCAAGGTCATGGACATATGTTGTAAGTGGGTGGAAAATCCAACTCCTAATAATACCTGTTATTTGTATCGCATTAACAGCTTTCCTATTCATTATCTCATTTAATCCTGACAGCGGCCCTGTGAGGTATTACCTGTGTTTTGTAATGGAGACTCTAGATGGGCTAAATAACTAGCCCAAGGTCATTCTTGGGAGCCAGAGTCTTCCCACCTAGGTCTTCAAACTATCCATTCATTGTTCTCCCACTTAACAGTGAAATGGTATCTTGTTATAAATACCACTTCCTTCTCTGGAGAGTCTCTCTCTGTCAGGAACCGTTAGCTCTCCCTTTCTTTTCCTTCCAGCAATTTCACGTTCACTTGAGGAAGTGGCCAACCTAGCACCTTTAGTCCTTTAGGAGGCTAAGCTTGTATGAGAATGGTTGATGACTCTCTTCTGTGAAAACACACCCAGCACCAAGGTACACCCTGGATATCACTGATACCTTATTCTTCATAGTTCCCTTCCTGTTTATCTGCCCCATCTGAAAGCCACGTGGCATTGCGCCTGTGTTCACGGTCTCACCTCCTGTAATGTGTCTACTACTGCACTTTGAGAATATGCCATTTCTGCCTTTAGTAGAAAGCACCCCAAGAAGGAGACGTACAATCTTCCCCACAACCTAGTGAGCAAAATAAGAATATTCCTCATTTCACAAATATTATAAGTTGGGATGATAATGAGGTCCCAAATTCATATAGCCTATGGAAGATGGAACTGAGATTTGGGTTTGGCTGTCTATCTCCAAGTCTAGTGCCATTTTGCTGCATTCATTCCTTGGAGCATACATGAGCCCTATTCTGGTCACATCTTAGCCCCTTCACCTTCTAATATGCTTCAGGGTTGAGCGTATCTGCCTAATTTAGGAGAAACTCATTAACATATTTCGTAGATTGTATTATTTCAACTTGATTTATTATTGCTTTCTAGAGAAGAGAAGATGTGGGGGAGCGACAAACTAATTTTCAAAAGGAAGTATAATAATTTGGCTATTGTGTTGAATTAACTAATGTTTATTTAGCACTTACTATATGCCAGATATCCAGCAATAATAGAAACTTTCTTCTACAAGGAAGGGAGGAGGAAAACCTACACTGGGATCTTAGTCCAGTGGTCACTGTTTTGTGTCCTATTCATTTGCTTCCTCCAGCTTATCCCTTCCTCTCCTTGCTCTCCCTTCAGCTTGGTTTCTTCCTATCACTCATGGCCACATCTTGTTTGAACTTAACTCCCTTTCAGATTGTGTTTTCAGTACCATCCTCTCATCGTTTATTGTTTAAGGTGATGTCCTCAAGTGCCTCAGAGGGTTCCCAGACACCTTTGGTGGCCAGGCCAAGACTAAGAATGTTTTGATTTGGGTAAATGGGACCAGATAGCTCTTTTAGGAGAAAGCACTCATGTTTGCATTGGTTACAGTAAAGTAACTAATAGTAATGTAATAGTTATTAGTAGAGGAGCGCTGATTGGAGCACAGAGGGGACAGGTGACCTCCGTGTTGCGCTGCAGCACTGTCCCTCAAAGGGAGGAACTGGTGACATGGATGGGAAGGTGATGTATGATATCCGTAGTCAGTCTGGAAGAATAGATAAGCTATTCAGATTCAGGGTGTATGGGTCTGAAACTCCTAGAAAGCAGATGGATAGCATGCTCTTCAGATTTCTTATCTGGAAAAACGACTTGCAGAATGTTTAGAGGAAGACGTGATTGGGGCATTGAAGGGTCCAGCTGAAAGAGGAATGAGTGATGAGGAGAGAAATTAGTTGTTTGGAAGAGGAGCTGGTTGTTGCTAGTACAGCAGGAAGAAGCTGGGGTCTGGTATCAGATAAACCTTGGTTCTAATCTCACCTCTGCTGTTAATAGCTTCATGACTGTGGATAAGTTATTTCAAGCCTCTGGGTCCTGGTTGCCTTATCTGAAATGGAGGGATTAAACTCCATTGTTTTTACTTATTGTGTGGATTAGATCCATTGAAATATAATGCCAAGCTCTGAGCACAGTGTGTCTATTAAGTCTTCCCCGTTAAGTTATGAGGAGCTAATAGTCCAGATCCTTCCTAAGGTGGTGTGGCCAGAGTACAGGCTCTGGAGCTAGACTCCCTGGATACTGATCCTCAGTTTACAATGCATGTGGCCAAGTCCAAGTTCTTAACTGTGCTGCTCTCTCTGTTCTCTGTCAAATGAGGAGAGTAGCGTCCATATCCTAGGGCTTTGGTCAGGATTGGCTGGGTTCTGTGTGTAAAGCACTTGGAACACGGCCTGCTGCTGAAGAAGCCCATGACTGTTTGCTGTCAACAAAGCCTGTGGCACTGAACTGATGTGGAGAGTGGGGATTTTCCCACTCTTTATCTTAACCTTTGCACCTCCAATGGTATCGTTACCACGGTTTATCTCTTACTGCTTTCAGAGCAGCCAGTAGCTATGTGACTCCAGAATATACCTAATTCTTATGTTGTACAAGGGCTCTTGCTTCATTTGCTGTCCCTTGTTATCTTAGAGAAATATCTGTCCCAGAAAACAGAAAGGAAAAAAAAGTGTCTGTTTGTCAAGGCTAAGTTGCTTCAGAATAGGAAAATAATTCTTTGAATTAAAGTGGTGACGACACAGGCCTCTAATCTTAGCACCTGGTAGGCAGACACAGACAGATCTTAAGTTCGAGGTCAGCTTGAAGTTCTAGGACTACCAGGACTACACAGGGAAAACCTGTCTCGAACACCTCCTGCCTCCCTCCCCAAGAGTGGCTGTTTTTCAGTCTTAAGTTCACCAGCTGACATGCATTGAGCATCTTGTGGGCACCATGACTTTCCTAAGAACTTGTACACACAGTCCCTACATTAACGTTATGAGAGGTGGGAGATGGAGGGTCAGACTGACACGGTGATTGCACACAGGCCTGAGAGCATGTGGCTACAAGTGGCAGAGGTGGCCTTTAGATTCTTCACCAAGTCAGTTTTGCAGGGCTGTGCTGCCTTTCTCTTGTTGACTCTGCTTTTGAGCCCAGGAAGGGCTTATTTTCAGGAGCAGTGTACTACATTCTTTGAAACTGGTGAGCCCTAAGCGCTCTCCTTTAGTTACAGAATGAACTGTTTGTTTTGAGATGTGTTGCTATAGTTTAGGCTATCTAAGCTCTTGGTCTTCCCTCTGGGTCTATTCTGATAACAGGTTTAGTAAAGAGAGGCTGTTAACCATCATTAGCTTCACTGTCATGGGCCCTGAGGTACATCGTAACATTGCAATTTTGTTGTTCTTTTTCAAGACAAGTTTTTTCTATGTAGCCCTGGCTGTCCTAGAACTCCCTCTGTAGACCAGGCTGACCTCAGATGCGGAGATCACCTGTGTTGTCTCCTGAGTGCTGGGACTAAAGGCGTGTTGAAGAGGTACTAGCCTTTGCGCCCAGGGTCTTGCTTGTAAGAAAACACTCTCACTGAGCTGAAAGAACCAAACTTGTCACTTAATAGATGAAGAAACTGAATTGATTAACTGTGACTGGTAGATCCAGAGATTACATAGCATGTTGTAGAGGCAACCTGGACATGTCCTATCCCACAGCCATCTCCATCAGGATTCCATTTTGGAAGCATGGAAACTTATGGTCAGATGAATGATGAAAAAATTACTTAAGATACTGTACCTTAAGTAGGTCTCCAAGAGTTAGTTCCAGGAAAGGTAGCCTTTAGCTCATCATTTATATGTTAGAAGAATGCGACTGGTAGAAAACTAACATGGAAACAGCTGTAGAAATGCAGCCTCTGCATTTGAATGGGAATTTAAATATTCTGGACCATGTAGGAAGATATTTTGCTTTCCATTTTTGAGGTTGAGCTTTGACTTTGGGCTTGCCCTAGGATTTTACATAGAGATATCCTTGTTACAGGTTGTATTTACTTCCAAATTGTTTAACAGTCTGTTTTGAGTTCTAAGATGTAGTCTTTGAGTGTACCTGTAGACATGATTGCACTGACTCTGAATTCTGTAATATGTCAGCATTTAGCCAGACACTAGAACAGAGACCATGCAGTAACAACAGTAGTGGGCATTTAATGAATACCTGCCGTGTGCAAGGTGCCAGCTACAACATATAAAAATCAGGACAACCTTAGGGATCGTAAAGTGCAGCCTGACCAGGGTTGCCCTCAGTGAGCAGCAGAACTGGGCTCATATTTGAGGTTATCTGATGGCTGAGTTTTTTGTGGGGCCTCTCATAGGCGATAAAATCTGCGGTCATGAGTGAGGTGTATCACTGAGAGATTCCAGCTTGCCTGGGCTTCAAGGTGAACAGTGATTTTTCTCTGTGATTTATACTCAGTGTGCCCCTGTTCTGGAAATGAAGTGGATAGAAGGCCATGCTAGTTGGCTAACAGCTCTAGTGAGGCATGTGCACCTGTGCTAGCTCTCCTCCCACCGTTTGAACTACAGGAAGGGGAGTGAGGCAGCAAGACTGGAAAGCTCCATGCCAGCCTGGGACACTAGGAAAGTCCTGACTCAAAACTTAAAAGTATTGCTGAACACTGAACTGAACTCCTGGAACCCAGTGACAGAGAAAGAGGAGTGATGAGCAAAGGGGTCATGACCGTGCTGGTGAAACCCAGAGAAACAGCTGACCTGAACAGGGGGGGAGATCTTGGACCCCATACTGATGGCTGAGAGACCAGCATGGGACTGATCCAGACCCCCTGAATGTGGGAGTCAGTGAGGAGGCCTAGGAAATCTATGGGGCCTTGGGTAGTAGATCAGTGTTTATCCCTGGCATACACATGGGCTTTGGGTGCCCATCCCACAATGAGGGATGCTCTCTCAGCCTGGACACTTGGGGGATGGCCTAGGCCTTGCCCTGAATGAAATGACAGACTCTGGTGATCCCCCATGGAGGGCCTCACCCTCCCTGGGGAACGGAGTGGGGATTGGGTGAGGGGCTGGGGGCACTGGGAGGTGGGTGGGGGAGGAGGGGAGGGAGAGGGACCTGGGATTGACATGTGAAGCAACCTTGTTTCTAATTTAAATAAAAAAATAAAAGCATTTAGAAAGTATTGGAAGGAGAGGTGGGAGAGTCTGTTAAGTCTGGTCTAGCTTGGGTAACTGAGCTAGCCTCGTAGAATCCAGCATCTCTGGATACAGTGATCTTTGGGGTTGGTCCATTCAGAGTTTAATTTCTCATGCCCCCCCATGCTAGTATATTTTCTAATTAAATTAAGCTTTCATGCTGGCTAGATAGGCCCTGAGAAAATTTTTATTATTTTTAAAATGCTGTTTTTATTATTATTTTAAATTATTATTATTATTTTCAATCAAACTTGTTGTGAAAAAGCAACAGAAAAGTAAAAAATTAGCCCTTGGTACTATTCTAAATTCTCACCTAAAAAACAATTCTATTTAGGAAATAGATAGAAGATATTTTTGTAACTTACTGAGTATCTTTTCAAACAAGAATTACTTTTTTCCTGTCCTCTCCTTACAAATGCCAAAAAATTTTGGAGAAGTATTAAGTTTTAACAGCTAGACACATTTATTCCAAATAGCTACAGAATTAATATTTTATATAGAATGACACAGACTAAGCCTTCTTGGTTTCTGATGTAATTATGCCCATTTATAGGGGCCTGTACTGAACTTCCACTCAGAGTCCTGGCCTGCCGCCTCCTTGTCTGCAGTGCTAGATTTCAGTGAACTCTGACTCTGTGAATTCTCAAGTACAGGCTCAGATTCATGGCCTCCTCTTCTGCCCTCTCCCCCTTTCCTCCCTGTTCATTTACTTAGGGTTTTTACTATAAAACAATCCCAGTGATCCACCTTTCTTTCAGTTGCTACACAGTATTTTATCAGATGGATATGATATGTTCTGTAGAACATTGTGACATACATATTTTTTTCAGTATTGTGTATTCAGCTTGCCTCTTTAACTGTATTATAAAACACTGTCATGAATGTGCTTACATAGATACTTTTTCTCTCACTCTAAATGACTTCATTAAAATAAACTCATAGAGTAGGAGCTCTGGGTCAAATGGGGTAAATATTGTTATGGCTTCTAGTATATGTTGCCAAATCACTTTCCCTTTTTAAAGGTTTGTGTCAAATGGAACGAAATATACCGGCTTGTGATGCCCACCTCTCTCTTGGCTTTCTGCCTTCCATCCTGCTCTCCGTGAGCTGGCCTACGGGCTACTGCCCAAAATACTCCGTCCAGAATGTTGTTTATATTCCATCCTAGACTTGTCCAGGTCATGCGTAGCCTGTTGCCATTTCAGATGTAAAGTTTTACTTCTTGCCCTTCTCTCTCATTTCACCTGTTTCCATTGGGTTGATCCATGTTTGAGTAGCCATGTTGAGGTTTTCTTAAATGAACCTTCTCTCTTAACCTCTTGTCTTCCCTTTAACTACTTCTTACACTCAAACTGCCTCCCTCCCAACATTTCTGTAGCTCATTTTGTTTCAAACACTGGTTCTGCAAAGCTATAAAACAGAAGTACCAAAATGATGCTGTCCTTCACACTTAGTGTACTTCATTTGTAGTGGGTTGCAGTCATGTGGGTCAGTATGGACAGCGAGATAAATAGGAGAGGTAGTACAGCACTCAGAGGAATGAGTGGCTTGTTGGTTTGCCTTGGGAAAGCTTCAGCTGGGATTCAGGCAAGCATTTCTGGCTAAAATGTGAGACAATCATACTTGTGTGGTCTTGGTCTTGTGACCACAACTCCTTATGCAGACAGGCTGGTTCTCTCCATTCTCCTGTGCGTCTGCTACAAAATAGAAAGTACACTGTACCAGTCATTTCAGGGGAACCATCACTTCCTTCCTTCCCAGCAGCATCCTAATGTCCAGTTTACTACTGGTCAGGCAGCGAGACGGTGTCTTATGTGCCATGGCCACCGGAACCCTCACAATCACCCTTTAGTTAAGTACTGTCGTCCCTAGAGGAGCCCTGGTACAGTTTACTTGCTTGAAGTCACAACTAGTAAGAGTGAGGAGCCTCCTTTCCACAGTTTTATCTTTCTCTGCAGTTCTCTGCTCATTTCTTTTTTTCTTTCTTTTTTGGTTTTTGGAGACAGGGTTTGTCTGTGTAGCCCCAACTGGCTGTCCTGGAACTGGCTCTGTAGCCCAGGCTGACCTTGAACTCAGAGATCCGCCTGTCTCTGCCTCCGGAGTACTGCCTGTCCTCTGGTGATTTCTTATGGAATAAAAAAAAAGTCCAGCACAATGACAGGCATTTCCAATCCCTGTCCAATGAGAGTTTCAGTCTCATCTTGTGTGTGCCATCCCTGGTGTGCCCCGTTTTTCTCCCAGAGCTGCGGCTTCATGGATGGACGGTTCACACACCCACAGCAAGCACGTGACGCCTCTCAGCGTCCAGCGCACTCAGTTATGCAGTGCCCTGTGCTTGGCATCCCACCTCTGCCGTAGTCTTTCCATGCGGTTTTCATTTGTTTTTATATTATTACGTTTGTCTTTAATGAGAATATTGAGATGAAAAAGCAATATTTTATAAGAAAAATGGTTTATACATTTTGTTTAAAAATCTTTAAAAATGTATGTATTAAAATGACAATGTTTCCTTTTCCCCCTCAGCATAGGGCTACTTTCAAATTTGAATCAACAGATGAAGATAAAAGAAAGGTAAGATTTGATGTGTGTGTGTGTGTGTGTGTTACTCCTGGATGGTTTGAGCACTGAGCTTGTTTTCATCTGGTGGTTGTTGATTAGTTTTTTTCTTTCACTTTAGTTTTTCAGGAATTCTGAGAGGAAAGAGGTAGCAGGTTTAGGATGGTTACACACAACTCGTCCTGTTCATCCCCACAGGATCCCTGGACTTACTTAAGCAGTGGAAAGGTTCAGGTGGGACTGTCACTAGATTTTCTTACTGCTAAAAGTTTTACTTTTCTTGGTGGCAGAATTCCAGGTTGTACACAATGTCAGGCTATTGTAAAGCATGGCTATGATGGGCAGATTTTGGGGAGAGCAGCTTCTCCTGCTATGGTCCCTCAACCTCGTCACGCATTCCTGTCAGCACTATACCTACTGATATTGTCACAGTTGTCTAGGTCATCATAGTCACAGGAATGGAATCAAGAGACTCACACACAAAGGAGTTACTACAAGAAAGGGTGTATCAGATGTATGACTCTTCAGTGTATGGTTGCCTTTCTCAGTGGGTTAAGGCGTGATGTTAATGAGAATAAACCAGTCCTGCCTTGTTGTTTTTCTGGGTTCCATACCTGTATCCCAGCCTCACAGATTCCAGGATCAGATAAGACTATGGCTGAGTCAGTATGCATCTCTTGGTGCTGAAAGGCATGGCTTAGATGCTAGTAGTGGATTGGTGACCTTACATGTGCCGATTTACCTCTCTCTACATACAATACCTGCTTCTCTACCTCCTAAGATTTATCCTATTAATTCTAACCTTAATCTGGATCACTACATTCGTTTATTAGTTTATTCACTGTATTGTTTTTGAGATAATGTTTCTTTGTGTAGCCCTCCCTGCCTGTCCTGGAACTCACTCTGTAGACCAGGCCGGCCTTGAACCCAGAGATCTGTTTGCCTCTGCCTTGAGTGCTGGGATTAAAGGTGTGGGCCGCCACTGCCTGGCACTTCTTGAGCCATCCTCTCACTTTCTGTGACATGTGGTTCTAGCTGCTTGTTCCTAAATCTAAGACAGCAGGCTGGCTGTATCATTCTTAGCACCAATCATGTGTATATCTCTAGACAGTCTTCAGATAAGTCTTCCTACAAAACGGCCCAGTGTCTGTGGAGGAGAAACTGGTAGTTAGCTGTTTAATTAAGAAGACCTTTGCCCTTTGACCAAAATATGTCACTTTTGGGGATGTTTTACATTTAGATTGAACCCAAGTGAACAGTTTTTTTTCATTAAAATGTACATAAACAGCAAAAGATTGGAAACAGCCGTTTAAGGGATGCTGGGAAGAAACAGTGACACGCTGACCGAATACTGTGAAGTAGCAAAAGTTCTATCCTGTGCTTTTGAAAAAGAACAAAGTAAGGCATTTGAGCAAAGCATATTGAATGATGGACTCACACTAGAAATTCAGGTTAGGAAGGCAGCAGCTGTAGGTTTGATTGGGAGAACCATCCTACGTTTGTAACATTAATGCTGTATTAGGGTCAAACTCCAGAGTCTCGATAGTGCTTTACTCGTCATGAAGGGCAGAAGAGGTCACCAAGTCACTGAAGTGTTTGCTTCACAATCAGGACTCAAGTTCACTTCATAGAGCCAATGGAAAAATTCCAGGAGCAGTAACACACGTTTGTGATCCCCAGACTGGAAAGAGAGACTAAAGGAATCCTGAAACACATACATACACCCCTGCAATACATACACGCATATACACATGTGCATAAAAAGCTAAATACTATGTTTTACCAATACAAATATTAGTTAAAAGGGAATTTTCCAATGTTAATTGTATATGCTGTTTGTTTTCTGTACAGTAGTAAAAAAACCCTGATTTTTCTAACCATTCTACCCACTTGCTCTCTACATGGGTTTGATTCCAGCAACATTCCTTTGATACACACACAACTCCCAGATATTCAAGTTTCTCATCTTCCTAGTATTTGCATATAAGTACACATCTTCCCATATACTTTAAATAATCGCTAGAGGCCCATTATGATGTGAATGCTTTGTGAAGTTATAGTGCCTCAGGAGTAATGATAAAATAGTCTTTGTATGTTCAATGCAAAGATGGTGTTTTTTCCTAGTAGTTTTGATCCAAAGGTTGTTTGAATCTGTTGCTGTAACGATTGCCCTCTGATACTTTTAGATCTCTGGAGAGAGTAACTTCTGCACTAGTGTTTATTTCAGTTTGTGTGTAGGTTTCTGCTTCCTGGGAGGTCTGTTATAAACAAGTGTCATTAGGGACCTAGCTAGGTAATCTTCATTAATGGAAAACACTGGCAAACAAATCCATTTCAGTCTCAAGTGGTTAAAACCATTAGTGACTCTTTGATGCCTACAGTGCCTTTCAGACACTGATAGGGAAACTGTGGGGCAGCTCCAAGGCTAACAGTATTAGAAGTTCTCTGTGGAAGCAGTAGTTAGCACTTCTCTACATTGAGTCCAATATGAAAATACAAGGAATCAAATTACTATGTAGTTTCTTTTGCTGTCCTTAGACTACCCTAATTGTGCTTCTAGAGCAGTGGTCCTCAACCTGTGGCTCTCTACCCCTTTGAGGGTCACATATCAGACATTTACATAACAGTAGCAAAATCTGGATACTAAAGTAACAACGAAATAGTGTGATGTTTGGGAGTTACCAAAGCATAAGGAACTGTGTTAAAGGGTTGCAACATCCGGAAGATTGAGAACCACTGCTCTAGAGTCTCTGTCAGTAGCTACTTGGTTACAAAAATTCAAGACCTCCCCTCCTTTTATAAAGTACAGTACTTTGATAAAAACATCAACTAAAAAATCCACCCATAGTAGTAATCTTTCTTATATTAAAAATAAAATTTTCTGACAACCTAGAATAGTGTAAGCAGTGCCCTTCAAAGAAAAAAGAAACTTGATTATATTGATTTTGTGTATGTGATGACAGATGATCTCTAGATCTGGTTCCTGACACTTGTGTCATGGTTTTCAGTTTGCATAGATTTGCTTTTCCTGACTAGTGCCATGGAGCATGGTGAGAATATTACAGTGAGATTCTGAGGTTTATGCTCACACTGCCAGGATGTGGGGAAGCCTCATTTAGAAAGGATGCATGGAGGTCTTCAGTGAGCAGTGCTTGGGAGCTCTTCTCTTCATTACCTTTTGAAGTAGATTCTGAAATACTGGATATTATGATCTTTTTTTTTTTTTTTTGGTTTTTCGAGACAGGGTTTCTCTGTATTGTTTTGGAGGCTATCCTGGAACTAGCTCTGTAGACCAGGCTGGTCTCGAACTCACAGAGATCCGCCTGCCTCTGCCTCCCGAGTGCTGGGATTAAAGGCGTGCGCCACCAACGCCCGGCTGGAAATTATGATCTTTTACCTTGTCTTATCTTATTTTGCCACTGTGGAGATGGCATGTAAGCATGAGTTTGAGTTGGGAGCTAGCAAAGGGACTTAGCAAATGGGGATGTGTATATTTTCTTAAGGAAGAAAGTCAGATGCAACTCTAATGTTTGTGACTAGGATGCAAACTGTGACAGGTCATGTGGATCATTGTGTATTTGGGCAGAAGCACCTGTACTTGCTTTGCATCTTCACCTAAAACGCTGGGCTGTGATTACCTGTCAGTACATAGCAAATGTAGCATGCAAATGTGTGAGACGAGGAAAGGAAATGGGGAATAATTTGGAAACCCACATCGAGACAGTGAAAGCTCTTACTTTGGTTTTAACACAAAACATCCCTCAAAACCCAGAAAAGACTATTGCAGTCACAGTTGAAAAAGATATGTCATCAAATGACTAGCGCTGGATGACAGCTCAGGGACACAGTTTGCCTAGCATGTGTTAGGCTCCACGTTCAGTCCTCAGTACTGGGGAGTGGAGAGAGGAGTAAACACCTGTGATTAGGAACATAGATAGCATTGTCAACTGTGCAAAAGCTCCAGCTGTCTATAATAACTGCGTATAAGATCATTTTCCTCGTGCTCGCTTTGGCAGCACATATACTAAAATTGGAATGATACAGAGAAGATTAGCATGAGCCCTGCACAAGGATGACTTGAAAATTCATGAAATGGTTCATGTAAAAACAAACAAACAAGCAAACCATTTTCCTCAAAAGGATGAGTGTTTCACACCTAAACTGCAAGCATATTTTATAACTGAGACTCATTTCTGTTAAGGCGCCTGGTAGTTGCTGATTTGAAATTGTGAGCTCTTTAAGGGGACAGAAGCCTTTATTACTCGCCTTGTGCTCTCAGCTCCTTCCCCTGAATGCTGCCCTGTAGTGATGTATGCTGGCCTTGAACTCACTGCTGAGATTAAAGGCGTGTGCCACCATGCCCAGCCCTTTCCCTCATTGTGTTGACATCACTGCTGTGCCACAGTGGAATAGCCTGAGGCATGGGTTCTTGTTCTGATAGCTTTTGTCAAACTTAAAAGAAAAAACTCAATATGGCTTGTAAATTTGAATCAGAGTTTACTTGACTCTGTCTAAGGGAACACATCGGTACCTGGTACAAATAGAGTGTTCACTCTGAAACTAGTCTCATCAGAGATAATCTTCAGGCTGGGCACAGAGCTCGGTTGTAGAATGCTCTCCAGTGTAGCCAAGGTTCTCAGCTCCCTCCCTGTCTCCCTCCCTCCCTGTCTCCCTGTTTCCCTGTCTCATAGTTCAGTTGTAGAATGCTTTGTAGCACATCCAAGGTTTTGGATGTCCCTCCACCAACAGAGAGTAACTTTAAGTATTTTTTTTTTTTTTGGTTTTTATGAGACAGGGTTTCTCTGTATTGTTTTGGAGGCTGTCGGTCCAGCCCAGCCTCGAAGTCACAGAGATCCACCTGCCTCTGCCTCCCGAGTGCTGGGATTAAAGGCATGCGCCACCACCACCCGGGGACTTTAAGTATTTTTTTATTCCATTAAAACATGTGCGGGAGGAGGGGGGAGAGGGAACTTGGATTGACAAGCTATTTAAAATTAAAGTAATAAAAAAAAGAA